CTGGTTGGAAGGCAACTATAATCATACAATTGATGCATTTTTGAACTAATTATTATTTCTTACTTTTAATTTCATTATCTATATTAGAAACACAGGCCAAGGATTCCCAAATAGATTACTGACATACTTTCCTAGAATATACTACAGAAGGTGCCAATCCCTACAAGATACATAATGATATGAATGATGATGCTAGTAAATACATGAGCAAATCTTAATGAGGTTTAGGGAGTGGAGGGTTTTGGTCATGAGATACAGTCCTGGTGTTTTGACAGAATTTGAACCCAGGGCCTGGGGAAAAACACAAGCATCTCAACCACCAAGCTAAACCTACAGTACTACCACAAAACCAGTTTGTTTTTTTAGTGTTTCCCTGTTTTATCGTAACAGTCTTGAGAAATGCTAACAGTAACAGGCTTCTACAGTACAGTGGTGTCGTGTCCAGTTCATTGGGAATCTCTTGTAAGCTACAGTAATATATTCGTAGACTTGCTAATGGATGTGGGAAGCTACTTATGTGCTGGCTAACAATCCATAATCATAAAGATTTTTTGTTTAGTGAACTTATTTCTGAAATACTGTCAGAGGAAGACAGAAAAATAATAAAGATTAAATTTATTTTCTCAATTTAATAGCAAAATGGTTTTGCAAAAAGCATCTGGGCAAAGGAGAAAAATAATTTTAACAAATAACAAAATGTGAGTGTGAGGTAAAAAAGTAATGACAAACTCATAGTCTACACTACAGTATTACTATCATGTTTTCGTAGGTAAACAATTTTAATTTAATTGATAAATGCTTTAAACTCTGTGATATATATTAAAAACCCTGTAATAAAAATTCAATGATACACACAAAAACTATCATTTTTTACTGAATAAGATACATTTTCCACAAAAACTAATTTCATGTCTAATACGAAAATAAAACAATTCAAAAAAATGGTGCATATTGTTAATTGGCAAGAAAAAAATATTTTTTTCATTTTCAGACACGTTTGCTAAGAAAATCCTTTAAATGATTATAGTGTAAGAAATCTGATAATTAGTGATGAAAATTTTCTCTCAAATTTGTTTAATGGATGTGGAGGCATATGTATTTTTATTGCTCTTTGTCTAGAGAAACTGTGCTGTGAACACTTGATTTTGCATTAAAATTACAATTTAAAGTTCACACAGCATGTTAAGTAATGTCCAGTATGTTGATTTCTTAAAATAACATTGCAATTCAAAAAATATTAAATTACTGCAATAAAGTGTGAAATTTAAATATTTTGGAACTTCTCTGGGAAAAAAATCTTTATTTCTAGATTTAGATCAGAAGATCTTAAAAATTGTGATATACTGTATACTGTAACATAATTAAAAACAAATTAAAACCACTTTACTTGTTAAGAATCAACAAATAATAGACTGAACACCAACATCAGTATTACAGTATTGCTTAATATAATTGTAGTCAAAAAACATACATATATTATGTATAATAATAGTTTCCCATTTGAAATTCAATCTAGAAGTAAAAAAAAAAAAAACATAAACACCTTTCTATATCATTTAATTATTTATCTACCTACCAGGAATATTTAAATGGGAGAATGATGGAAGCAAACAATTTAAGTACTGTAGGAGGTCTCAACAATTAATTGTGGAGGCACTACAGTACCTTGCCAACTAAAGTCATATAAAGGTAATTTTTTTTTTTTTGCTGTGCGGGGAATCTGGGGGTGCCAGCATTTATTTTGGGGAAGGCAGTCCGTGTGCTTGTGATTGCTCACCATATACCATATTATAGAGTAAGCTACAGGATGGTGAGATAACCATTGGATTTTCACATTAAGACTGTCCTTGTATTTTGATAAATATAATTCCTTAATCCATTTCCTGTATGTTTCATTGAATTCATCATCAAATGTTGCCTGCTTCATTTATCCAGATATTGCCAGGACCTAGGCCTTGATATATTTTCTTTTTATTCCAGTACAATACTGAAGACATGTTGTGGGATTCTCCTTTAAATTTTTCCCTCAGAATGTTAAATAATTAAGAGATTATCTGATCATCTTTATAGAATAATACTATACTACTGTAAGTATAGCATTAGCATTGTTTACACAGCAGATCACCGTGATGATCGCATTTATCCGTTGATATAGGTGTTAAGTGGCCGTGTAAACGGAGTTAGCAACTCCACATAACAGAAACTGCGATGATCTATGCAGTTACCTCTGCATCGCAACGATGTTAACATAGATCATCGGTGTGATCTTTATAGCTGTTGTTTGACCTGTGTGAGTCATCGTTGGAAGTTGCTGTTGATAAACAGCGTGAATACTATTATTATTATTATTTGAAAAATTATGTTTTTATCAATTACATACATTTTAAAACTTTTTTGACAAAGGGTTTCAAAACAAGCAGCAATGTGTGCATTTTTTTCTGGTCAGTTTTAATCAAGTGATTTCCTGTTACAACCGATAATTTTTTTTATCGTGTAGACGCGCGACTAGAAATCATCGGTGATACCTATTTGACAGGCAACAGCCGTGTAAACAAGACTAATTATGTAACTACACAAAAAGGTATCTTCTTTTGTGCTAAATGTATTTATTATTTTTTTTAATTGAATGAAAAATAGCTTTTTGTTTGAAAATAAAAATTACCCGTTTAATTCTTTAATAGTAATATTAATTAATACTATACTACTATAATAAGTACTATATGATGTAAGTACACAAAAAGGTATCTCTTTTGTGCTAAATGTATTAATATTTTTTTTAATTAAACGAAAAAATAACTTTTTGTCTGATAATTAAAATTACCACTGAATTTTAGGGAGATTACATGTAATAAATAAATGTTTATTGAATGTTTTATAATTAATATTTTGAATTGAATATTTTAATTATTAATGCATTTAATTAAAATAATTATATTTATTAATTATTGATGTACTTAATTTAAAAAAATTAAATGCATTAATTTAATGAATTTAATTACTTTTAATGCTTTACAGTTTTATTCATAATATATGTAACTACAGCTTGCTGTAAGCAAAACCCACTTGGAACACTACAGTATTTAAATAAATTAAAACAAATTAAATAAATTTATAATACTGTACAGTGTACCTATGGTTGAGTGAAAATTTATCTCCAAGGACATTTACTCAGAAAAGCCATTCATTTAATTATTTAAGTATATTTGTATTAGGTGTAGCTGTATAGTACAGTATGCCATATTACTCAGTCAGTCAGATCAGGATGTTATAAAATTATTATTATTATTTAGATTTACTTCCTCAACAACCTTGTCAAGTCTGACTGCAATTTTATTTTGTTGTTTTGTTATACAAATCATATTTATTTACATATAAAGAGAAACTTACTTAAACCCCTCCATTTAACATTTAAGAATGAAACAAAATGTTAAGCATTTTAAGGAAGAGCTTGCATCACTTCTGACCCCACTATTTTGGACTTAGGTAGTCCAGAGAGGCCTAGGCCTAGAGGCTGGCCCAACTTAACTTTTGTATTTCATCATGTGTTTCTTTTGTTTAATATATTTAATCAAATTGAAAATCTTTTGTCATATTTTACAAATCGAGATACTACCTACAGCATCATGTTTACTACTCGATCAGGCTAGAGGAAATTAAATAAAATATATCATTCGGTGGTTCTTCAAGGCTATACCTAGGCCTAGCCCTAGGACTACCTCCTAACTTAGGCCTACTGCTGCCCTAATCTCTCCAGTCCAGAGGGTGGTGACTGTTTTGTTGTGTTTGTGTATGATGATGGGCGTTACAGCTAAATTCGGTCACTCACCCCGATGAATCTGCTGTCGCGGACTGCTTCCGAAACATTTTTTCTGACCACAGCAGCACTTATAGGATTTCCACTAATATGTTTCCTTAGAAGTTGAGCATGAGGCCTCGACTTCGCAGCCATGTTGACAGCAACAGCCTTCGAAACTTAAAAAATGTCCACTGCCGGTTAGATTGTGTACAGCTTCGCTTATCAGTACAACGCCATTTTCTTTTAGAGGAGATTCCATCTAAAGTGTTGAAGTTCAGTCGATTTTATCGTAGGGAGTCAATTAAAGTTGTTATGTACTTATGTACAGTAATTTATTGTAATTACAGGCATTGAACCTTTAAATTCATAGAATTTGTTTGTTTTTAAACGGACCATCTTTTACACGGTATCGATGTATTTTTTAATTTTGTTCTGAAAATATAACAGATTGGATCAGAATTATTATGTATAATTGACTTTCTGCGGTCAATAAATGAAACAGTCCAGAATTGTGGGTCACCTGACAACTGAGAACGTACGAGCGAACGGAAGGACTGAATTGTTTTCCTGGACGATAGGCCTATAGCTTGCGAAATATATCGTATTGTAAATCATTGCATCATAAATTTAGACAGTTTGAAAATATATTATATTCCTAAGGTTTCTGTTGTAAAATGAAGAAAAAGGTTTGTCTTAATTAGCTTTTATATGTCGTTTATTCGCATGTTTAGTAACAGAATGTTTTCAGGAATGATTTCAACCCCTGATTCGAGAAGACCTTTTTCTTCTTTATTTCATTAGTGGTTAGCAAGCCTATATTTGTAATCATTTTGTCAAGTTATTCATGGTCCATGTTTAAATGGCACGTGCTAATTGTTATAAATGAGCTTCGTGTCCACATGATTTATAGATGACAATCTAGCCTGCCTGACTGCCCTTTTACCAAGCCTAAAATGAGGCCGAAATTACCTACTGACTGATGAGTAATGATCAGGGAAGAGTCTCACATACTCATAGGCCCTAGGCCTGTTCATAAATGAAGTGTATGATGAAATTACCACGTAAATCTGAATGATAATTATGATAATTTCCCATTGTGTCAGGTTTCATATCAACAGTGTGTCTAAACAATGGTGCCTGCGGAAGAACTCATGTGACCTTCATCCATAAAGTTATATAAATCCACATGACCAAGCTAAAATCATTTCATATGTGAAAACCGGTTTATTCACTTCCCATTGTATAGGCTTATGTTGGGAAATGGAGACCTACTGACAGTAGACTGATCAGATTAGGGCCTGACTTTTACTTTGATAAATATTATTTCAAGATAGCCTGCCTAACAGTGTTTTTTGTGGATGTGCATTCTAGTAAATAGTATTTGATCATCAAGTGAATGTGTGCATAATGTACTGGATATATCATCAAAGACTTTGAGTATCGGCCGTGGCTCAATTCTCTGACAGAGAGTGTAGTCCTTCCCTAAACTGAAGAATTACCTTGCAGTGGTTACAATTTTTTTAGTTGGCTTACATCTTGAGGCTGGTACACAAGGATTTTCAATTTTTTAATGTTGTTTGTTCATGTGAATATCACATCTTTACTAAACTTAGTCTTTGTTTCTCACCAATAACGTACTGTAAGCAGAGATCGTCGGTGTCACTTAGTATCTTACTGTAAACTTTGATACTTTTTCAGTAATATTTTTAATAGGAGAGATTTTACCACAATGAATAGACTGGAAAGACGCAGGTCCCAAAATGGCAGCCGAAAGAAAAAGGTAACTAAATGCATGGCTTCCCCACGTAGGCTGACAGCAACTCTTCTCTTTGATGTCAATGCAATTGTCTTAAGTTCTTATAATTTTTTTTCTGTTACTTTTGGTGAAATAATAAATCCAAACAAGTTTGTGTATATGGGCATGTGTACAGTAAAAGGCTTCCAAAATTATGTTGAACAAGTTAGCCATCATTGGGCAGATTGTCTACAGTTAAGTTTTCATTCCATGATACATTACTAACTATTCTGCTAACCCAAACCTTGATAGCAAGGGAATTCCATATCCAGACACCTTCTCTTAGATTTTTTGGGTCACCTCCATCAAACATTATTTAATTGCATTTATTTGGTATAATAACATGCAACAAAAAACATTTTTAAAAAGATGGCATATAGTATCTTTACAGTACAGTACTTAAAAAAGTGTGTGTGATTGTCGAGCAAGTATCATTGAGAGTGACTTATTGTAGGGATAGCTGGGTGATAGGGGTTGCATGTTGCTGGGTTGAAAGTTGAGGCGGAGCTGAGTTTAATGGAACAGTCAAACTTTTAACTCGTGAAAATATTCTTTCCATTGTACGAATACAAAACCTTCATTCTTTGTTTTATAACACACCTAAATAGGTCGGTTCGGCCTAGGCCTACTGTGACTGTCCTGGCCAAGGCTAGGCTGGAAATCTGTCAGCGCATTTTGGAAAATAAGAGCCAAATTCCGCACAGATTTTGCAAAAGTTTGAGCTAGTTTTTGAGGTATCATCCACACAATTAAAATACTTTTCAGTTGTTTGCAGTAAACAAAATCTCCAATACATTGTACGCCGCTGGACCTGAGAATTGTTATAGGTGGCGTGACATCATTTCATAGATTTCGCCCTCCAGAAAAAGTCAGTCCGCGTCTTTTTAACCATTTAAAATATTGTATTATGTTGAAGTCATTTCATACAAATAGGCAACGTGCAATGAACGATTCAGATGGGGGAAAAAATGTATGGTAGAACAAAATTTCACAAAGAGCGATGGAGTGGGCAAATTAACTAATGTCACATGGTACTAAATCAACCATTCAAATGACTGGGATCTATTTAGGTGTGTTATAAAATTAAATAAATGTTAAAAAAGCTCATTAAACAGATCTTCCGCAAGTGACTTCATCCCACTTAGGACCCCTGCAGGGTGATTTGATATGGAATGACCAACCAATTGTTTATTGTTATGGCCTATGGTACTAAAGATAGATTGTGGAAAGTATTGTTCTGTATAAAACTCAATGATATAGACACAGGAGATCAGTGAATGTAATTTGGTTTTGGATATGATGATTTGACTTTTTACCAAAAAATCTTAAAACTTAAGTTCATTACACAATGTATGGATGTAATATCATTAGGTCTACTGTAATTGTAAGACCAGAGATACCGTAGTTTCTTGGGGCTTGGTTTCTTTTTTAATTAAAGTCTTCAGAATATGTTATAATGTCTCTAAAGTAATTTTGTGTAGGATTATTGAAAGCCTATAAGAGTACCCATCATAAAAAACAATAATTTGCACTCTAATTTACAGAACCATAATATTAGGACGTGAACAAAACTCACACCTTGTGGGCTCTATATACTGTAAATATTTTTACATTTTATTTGTACAAATTAATTATTTATTTGTACAAATTAATTATTAAAACAATTATTACTGTATATAGGAAGTTTTAAAATGTTACAGCATATACATAAGTACATTACAATACATAACAGTATAATATAAATCATTAACATTTTACATTACATTAATAGTCTAAATATTAAAAAATGGAAATATCAAAATAATTTAAAATAAACTTTAGAATAAACCCACCCATAAAGTATCCCACTTAGGTATTAAAGTAAAGATTGTGATAAGCTGGTTTTGAATGAACTTAGGGTCTGGTGAAAAATATATATAAAAACATTATTATGTGAAAAGGTTATTAAGAAAAAAAGGGAAAGTATGAATAAAACCATATTTATATTCTGTGATGGTTTAGGTTGCCTGTGATTCATTTGTTTTCATTTATTTGTGGCTGGTTATGATCTATTTTTGTGAGTACAGTACTGTATGATGCTGGAATCTTGCTATTCAATCTACTAATCAGCATGTCATTGTTTGTTATGATCAAGCTTGTAAAATCCATGCATTTCATTCTTTATTAATTGTGTTTTATTAAATTATTTATTTATTTAGATGTTGAGAGTTAGGATTTTAAGGTTGATTTTTAGGCAAATATGTATTGTTCACTCTTCTAACCAAGAGTTTAAATGGATACTATCTGGACAAATACCATCAGAGCTCTTTTCATTCAGTGATGTTCTGCTTCAATATCAGTTGGTCAAGCATTGACTTTCCTTGCTCACATTATCATAGCTCTTTTAATAGACAGCATGCCCAATCCATTTCCACCTCCATTCAATCTGAAATTCCTAAACATCTGCTTTCCTTCTCTTGCTAGAATATCTCCTATTACCTTTTCCTTCCAAATAAAAATCTTTCTCAAATGCGTGTACGAATGGTCGCGTACTTGTATAGCGCCTCCCACAGTAGAAACCGTCTCAAGGCCCTTTTAGCCACAAAGAAACTAAAAAATCAATTAATCAAACAGACGTGAATGCGAAGGGGAGGAGGAAGGTGCACACCTCAGGGCATAGAGACCTTTGCATTATGCGCTATATAAATTTCACTACATACATACATCCAATTTTGAGACGGCGTCGCCATCACTACTGTGTATACGCAGGTACCTCGGCGTCGGTATTCTGGGCTCCGGTAGCTTCCACCGAGGATAAGAATGTGGGTCTACTACCGGGCACTGCAAAGTTGAAGGCGCCACCTCATTTAATCTTTCCAGTTGTCCAATAATCCTTTCCAATAAATGATGTTGAGTCTCATTTTATTACCATTCTTTTTACATTTCATTCACAGGTATTATTGATGGGGAAGAGTGGGTCAGGGAAGACTAGCATGAGGTCAATCATCTTTGCCAATTACATTGCTAGAGACACCAGGAGATTAGGGGCTACAAGTAAGTCATTGTTTACAATCATTGATGTTGGGATGGTACACTGGCATTTGGGGGGAGCATAATGAACCTTTTTCAGAGTGTCAATCAGTCAAACTTAGTAACTGGCTAATCTGAACATTTTATTTACAGGACTTAAAATCCAGTTTATATACTGTATTTTTACACTGTTTAAGGCCCCACACCTTACTAACATCACCTGCGTGCTGACCACCCAAGTGACTTCTCATGGAAGGTCATTTATTAGTTTATGAATGTTGTAAAACCAGGCCTTGAATATCTCCCCCACCCCCAACCTCTGTCATAGAACCTGTTTCTACTAATGAGAAAGAACCGTTAAGAGAACTGTTCTTCTTAAGAACAGGTCATTAAAAGGACCGTTCTTTGTAGCTTGCCGAACAACGATCCTTTGGCACAGAAACAATACCATGCCCAGCATGCCAAGAACGTTTTGACTTCGATCAACTTTAGGTCAAACTCATCATGCCATATTTTGTTGTTCAGTGTGTGGTGTAATGTACAATTTGGATTAAGATGTAAACAGACGCAATTACCTGGTATGTTATCATCCTTTGGAGAGAAGAGAAAGTCAGTCGTATGCCCGGATATACAAGAAAATTTCAATCAAGGTGAAGCAAGAGTTTTGCATTGAATTGTCAACAGCCCAGATCACCAACAAAATAAAAAAACAGCAATTGCAGCAATTCCCAGTAGCGAAAAATCATAACAAATCAAGTAATGAGAGGATTACATGTCCCTGCTACAACTTGCTTGATGGAATTCTTGGAGATCGTACTATGCACAATCTGTCTCATGTATGGAAGGAGGAGCTACTACAGTGCACTATTCAAGGTGCCAAGGGCAAGCATCACTTATGTCTTCACACCTGTTGCAGTGAAGCATTGGTTGACCTGTGGAGGTTTCTTTTATAGTGCTTTGTAGCCTCCCAATTTCTTTTACAATCAAACACCATTCCTCTTCTGCTTCCCAGTATTCACCTGCCTATAGCACCTAACTACAATGAATATTTTTTATGAATTATTTTACAGTTGATGTTGAGCACTCACATGTACGTTTTCTAGGCAACCTTGTCTTAAATTTGTGGGACTGTGGTGGGTAAGTAAATGATGGTTATATAATTTCAGTGTGAAAGACTATTCATACATTTAATTTTATATTTAGGTACATAAACCAATGGTTGCCAATTAGCAAGAGAGCAGCTAGCTTAAGCCTTATTCCGACAGTGTAAGTTACTCACGGTGATATCGAACAAGCGCTTGTTATGAGGTTAACACCAACCATATGAACAGGGTCACCTGATAGAAACATGCGCTTCAACCCGCAAGCTAACATCGATAAATGACCGAATTGGCAAAGCTCTCATCCGAAGGAACGTCACCCCGCTGATTAATTGTCTTACCACATCTTGATTGCAACATCTGTAGCTTGACCACGGTCTCGGTTTCGTGACAATTCCACACCTAATTTGTTAATATCAACCAAAGCATCTTTAAAATTACATGTTTGAGTTGTTTTTTACTTTTTAATTGTCAAAGGGATTCAAAATAAAACATTACAGGATTAATTTCTATTATTACCATTCGTTGTAAACTCCATAAATTTTTATGTCTTGAATTTTGGAAATCCGCAAGTACCATGGTAGTTTGTTTGCTGTGTCCAAAGATACGGCTGAAAGAGATACGGCAAACGCCGGTGAGATACATGATTCTTAGATTACAGCTAATACAGTAGCCTTAACTTTAGTCACTGCAATTCATGCATTCTAGCAAGAACAACGTAGTCGTACATGTGGTAGGTAGCTCGGTTTAAAAGCTGCTGAAAATCTCTTAATGTTTATAGGTAGGCTTAGGTTATGTGTTATTTCGCTTTTATGGAATGTTCTACCAAGTGAAGATGAAACAATTATTTGTTAAACACATTTATGCCTTTTATTTATCGATAAGGGATGGCCTAGATTTCTCATTAACTTGCATCGGATAATAGTGATCGTCGGAACATAGCTGTAGTCTGCTAAATTGGTGGTAGATAGCCACACAATCCAATCCAACCCAGGAAATGTATCTTATGACCTTCTCAATTGCTTTCAGTATAGAACGATATGGATGTTTACTTATGAAGTGAGCTCATCAGATCATTTAATGGAAATCCCATACACTTTCCTGAAAAGCTTAGTTTGTTAATGTACACATACCAATTGTGTATAATTACTTATGACTTAGTTTCATGTAATTATGAAAGATAAGGTAACACTGTAACAGATTGAAGTTGGATAAAAATCAGCATTTTCAGGTTTTGAACCAGAGAACATGCTTGAATCAGTGCTTACATGTAAGTACAGTTTGCCCTCCAATTCGAAACCAATTTTGGCACATGAAAATATGGGGTGGTCTCGGGTTTGGTCTCCATTTAGAGGGTTAGGTTTCCATTAAGTTTAGATTTATGTTAAAAGATTGAAGATTGTTATTTGGTTCATTGGAAATATGTTCTTAAATTTGAGGGGTCTCGTAATTAGAGTGTTCTCGAATTGGAGGTGCACTGCAGGAGCGGATCCAGAGATGTCTGAAAGGGGGCCCCCCCTAAAACTGGGACCAATGGAGAAAACATTACCCTAGGTGGTCCTGGGGAAATTTTTCTTTTCTAGGTGCCCAAAAATAACCTCTGAGGTATTTTGCGCGGTTTATATGATAGACAGCCAGTGAGCATGTGCATTGAGTAAGCGACGTTATCGAGCCATGTCGAGCATGCGCAGTTATCAAAAAGACGTCTCAGGAAACAAATAGCGGCTGCAAAGAGGGTATGATTACCAAAAAATCGTTGGTAAATCAATATAGTAAATTATGTCATGTCATAACAAAATTCACACATAGGATAAATTTGGAATTAGCTGAATAAACAAATTGAATAAGGTAAAGATGTTGCGGCATTTTTTTTAATAGGAAATATTTCTTGTTTAAATATTTTTTTTTTACTTTCCAGTAGGGGGCTGGGCTGTTCCTGCACTGTATGTTGATTATAGAATTATTATTAATATATCTTTCATCCACCTTCAAAATCCAGACAAGAAGCATTCATGGAGAACTATTTTGCCAGCCAGCGTGACAACATCTTCCGCAACGTGGAGGTTCTCATCTATGTGTTTGATGTAGAAAGTCGAGAGCTTGAGAAGGACATGCACTACTACCAATCATGTTTAGAAGCAATCTTGCAGAACTCACCAGATGCCAACATCTTCTGCCTCATACATAAGATGGATCTGGTCCAGGAAGATCAGAGAGATGTGGTAACAATTTATCATTTTTTACTAATTACATATTTGTGCATCTATATTAAATTTAATTAATTATGTTAGTAGCGCAAAGTTGCTGAAAGAGGGCTGACATACGGTGTTGGATTACACCTGGATCAGACCCTCGGGCATTGGATATTTCTGCTTGAATTAGACGCGTTCGTCTTATCATTCTTGGTCGGAATCCAAAAGGCCTGAGTTGCAAGCTTCCTGTAAAGTTGTTTACAGCCCATACCTTTCAATAAAAATACGCATCTCATTGGTAGTGGTTATTTACCATGTTTCCATGCGAAATACGCTACACTGGCCGTACAATGCTATTTATGGGCTAGAAATCGCTTATTTTCAGTGGTGCTTGGCGTATTTTTGATACAAAGTCATAATTACCCTATAACCCAGCCTATTCGCTTCACTAACATAATGCATTTCCAACAGCACCCAAAAGTCTTGTTCTGTTCAACTGTTTTAAAATCTAAAAAAAAAAAAATCTAGTAAGCGGACATACAGATTAGCGCATACATGAATCTATAGAAAGATAATTTAATAGCATAATTAATGGCGCACTTATTTCTGTAATCACCCAGATTTTCAAAGAAAGAGAAGATGATTTAAGAAGGCTGTCAAAACCTCTAACCTGCACTTGCTTCAGAACGTCCATATGGGATGAAACACTTTACAAAGCTTGGAGCTGTATAGTCTATCTTCTAATTCCAAATGTCCAGCAGTTAGAAACCAACTTACAGAAATTTGCAGAAATTATAGATGCTGATGAAGTTCTATTGTTTGAAAGAGCAACCTTTTTGGTAAGTTTAATTATATTGTTTTTATATTCATATTTTCGTTGTTGCTGTTAATGTTCATCATCATCTGATCAAGTGTGCTCTGTATTGTTTCACACCACCCATAATGATCCAGCATTGTATTTGGTAGGTCAGCAGAAGTACATTTAAAGTTCGCACTTGAGTTGATAGATAAAAATTCAACCTGTTTTCATCTATGGCAAGGTGTGTATGGCTGTGTATTGCTAAGCAAAATAAAATGTGCATTACCCTGATGATGCCAGTGATTGCAGGAAAATTGTTGTACATTTGGGTGGTTGGGCATTTTTTTTCCCCAGGAGAAATTCAATACTTCATGCAGTATGCATGTATTAGATCCCTTACGGTGTTTACATTGGCCTAACGGAAACGCTGGTGGCGCACTCCACTGGTAGGCAACAGAGCCGTAGATAGAGGATGATAGTTTTAGATCACTATAGAATTGAATGCATCTTATATATACATGTAAAACACTTACCTTTAGTTACACAGTACCACATACCAATGGGTGGAGGAATGGGTGTATGCTTCATGAGATAGAGAGAGTTTGGACAACTTGGTGCATGGGCGCCATGTTGTCACCAAACAGCGTGCGCGCGTATAGCTTTATCTTATAACATTTTACAAAACACTGATGCTGCATAAACTTTCTTTCATTATTCTGTTCATGAGGACAATTCGATTATGGGATTTTAACATATCATTGTAAATATCATATATAATCATATTTACCTAACTTTGGAATTAATCAGTGACGTGCTGTATTATTTTGAGAAGATAAAGTGAGGACGATTCTTTATTTTTTTTTTTCGTTACGATTATCTTTTTGTTTTGAAAGTCTATCATCATCTAGGCCTATATACCTAGTTGCTAGCAGCCTCCTCTATAGCATGAGGCTCCTAAGACTAAGAGTCAACACTGCAGAGGAGAAAGGTTGGTTGTGAAGACACAGTAGGTTTGTGAATCGTCGGCGATAATATGTTAATTTCGCCTGTAAATGAATGATAAAAATATTAATAACATGAAAGTTTTCTAATTGTATCTAGGCCTCTAGGCCTATGACTTCGTAAACTTTAATTTATGAAATAAAATATGCTGGTCATCTTCAAACCAATACAAATAGCCTAGGCCTATTTGTAAATTGTAATCTAAACAATAAATCAAAGTTGAAGAATTATTGCAGAACATTGTTGATAGTTGAAGAACATATGCTTAATCATTTATAATCAAGAAGCTAGGCCTTGTAAGTAAAATAGCAGCATTCTCCACACTTCTGTTTATATTATATTAGTGAGTTATAATATCATTATTACTGTATTATTATTTATTATTAATATTATTTATTATTTATTACTATTCATTGAAATTTTGATTTGTAATTTGTAAAACATTTAAACGTTTCAATGATTTAAAATATGTATTAAAACAATCAATATATTAGGCCTATATCTTTAAAATATATTTTTATTTTTAAAATCTTTAGTTGCACAATTAATTGGTTTGTAAAGCACAATTGGACATGTTTGCATAGCACAGGACTTCTTGGACAAGTTTTCGCTTTAATTTGAGGATTCAATTTTTATTTTTAATTATAATTTAAGCTACCTTTGACTGATACTTCATGTAGCTTCTGGAAATTTAGTTATATAATTTAACAGCAAAGTGCAACATTGCATCTTTTTATAAATCATTGCTACTTAAAAATCGTTCCTTTTTTTTATTATCATCGTAATTAAGCCGATTTAAGTACTACCTTAAGGTGTTCGGCCGAAGAAGTACCGAAATTTAGGCCTGTCTAGGCCTAGTAGTATTAGTAGGTGGATATATTACCGCGAAGTGGGGCGGGCGGCGGTACATGCCTTATAATTTACTACGTGGATAGCGAGATTTTTCGATCGTCATGCAAAGTTAAAATAAAATTCCAAATCCTCCTCCTTTTTGGAATTTAAGGAAATTAATACATTTTTGTTTCTTTGTTGGATCGATTGCAGCAACCCCAAACCCAACATAACGGTATTTCACATTATAATTATAGCATTAATCATCTATAATAACTGCTAACTTCCTACCCTATAGCGTTGTTTTGTTTTGGTGACAACATGGCCGGTGTAAGTCACGTGATTGAAACCGAGTTGGCCAAACTCTCTCTATCTACGGCTCTGGTAGGCATAGATTCTGTGAGTGTATGCCAAATGCCCAGAAAATCATGAAGCTGGTTATCTTTTTTTTTGTGCCAAAAATACGAAAGATAAAACAAAATGACTTTATAAATAATTGAATAAAAATATAAATATTATAATTTCTTAGGCTTTTTAAATAGTAATACATATAAATGTCATATGTAAATTTCATCCATGTAGCTTTCATATTTTCGCTCAACAAAAAAAAGATGAGTTTCCTGATTTCATGGCATTTGTCGTATCCTCTCCGAATGTATTGCCTACCAGTGGAGTAGGCCGACACTGTTTCTGCCAGGCCAATGTAAACACTGAAAGGGTCCATAAGCGCCACCAGCCTTGCCTCTAGATTTTTAGTGAGTGTCCATGCTGCAGATCCATATCAACATTAAGTTTACAGTTGCACTGCAAAATTAGTTTTGAGGTTGTCTTGGAGTTTTCATTTCATTATGGTGTTGAGACCTCCAAGGCCCATGCTTTGGCTAAGCAATTTTTCACATTCTATTATGTTAATATTGTATTCTTAAGCTTATCACATACCTTTCTATTTTTAGGTTATCTCTCACTGCCAACGGAAACCACACAAAGATGTTCATCGGTTTGAGAAAATAAGCAACATCATTAAGCAATTCAAGCTGAGTTGTAGGTAAGACCGAAGGAATTTTCTCACAACATATCCCACAGCATATAGGGATTGTCTCACAACATATCTCGCAATCTATAGGGATTGTCTCACAACATATGTGGCAACCTATAGGGATTGTTTCGCAACATATTTCACAATCTATCAGATGACAATGTATGTCCGTTGTTAAATTTTGTTGCTTGACTTCAGTTGACTCATTAGAGCAGAGCTGTAGGTTGGTTAATAATAATCAGAAATTTCTACCTTGCCAATTAAAAAAGTATCAAAAATGCCACCTGAAGAATAAACTAGATTAAAGTAAAGATTCTCTCTTGGCTTGGTGGTGAAGATACTTGCCTTCCAATCCCAGGGTCCTGGGTTCAAATCCTACAATTCTAGCATGTAACTGTAAAGTTCATCAACATTTTAATGGCTTTTGGGTGGTTTAGTTTATCTGAGCAGGGTTTTCTCCAAAAAAGGGAGTTTGGCCAAACCATAGAAACCCTTGTTACACTCCTACATTCCCTAGTTGTTGGCACGTGGCAGTGCCAATCAACTTACACCGTCTTCTTAGTGAAGTTGCAAGTTCTTGGTTTATTTTGTTTATTTATTTCAGTAAACTAGCAGCATCATTTCAAAGCATGGAAGTCAGAAATAGCAACTTCGCATCGTTCATCGATGTGTTTACTTCAAACACATATGTGATGGTCATCATGTCTGACCCGACCATACGTAAGTTGGATTGGATTTATTCGGTGTAAACACCAAGGATAGCCCACATAAGTCTAGAAGAAGACTTATTTCCAGTGGAGTCCTTCTGGTGGTGATTGGACAGTACACCGGGAGACAATCCCCTACTCTTTTCCGAAGAGTGTACTGTGTTCTTTAACGTGCACATAGGCCATAAATGCACATGGGACCAACGGCTTAAACATCTCATCCGAAAGACGGTGCGCTATGTAACTTGTATTTCAGCCCTCTAGCTGAAACACAAAGAGAGGCAGCGATGGGAATTGAACCGGGGACCTAGAGATCTCCACAGTTCAGCGCACACACAGTGGCTACCACCAGATTAGCTGACTGAGCTAACCTGCTCTCTGAGTTATCTCTACAACATTAAAGCATTAACTCTACAGCATCAGCAAGTTACCTCTACAACATAAAAGAGATACAAAATAAAATATTTTAATTCTACAAAATTAAAAATTTAATTTTACAATATTATAATATTAATGTTTCAACATAAAACAATTTACATCAAAAAGTTAATTCTACAACATAAAAGAGATACAAAATTAAAAAGTTTAATTCTACAAAATTAAAAATTGAATTCTACAACATTAAAATGGTAATGTTTCAACATAAGCAAATTACTGTCAATATACAAAAGTCAACTTTACAATATAAACATTAAACTGTTAACTTTTCAATAGTAAAAAGTTAATTCTTCAATATTAAAAATTTACTCTTACATGTAAAAACCAACACGAAAAAGATTATCACTTATACTGGTTGGATAAAATTTTGAATTGTTATTTTGTTCCTGCCTTTCCCATCTTTCAAAAATATAGGGCACTAAACAATGTATTAAAAAATTATTACCTCGAAAATAGACTTGAAGCCTCTGCCTGATCTTATCAATATAATTGTAAATGAATAAATAATGTTTATACTGTATAAAAAAATTCACAGAATAATTATGAAAATCTCTTTTTTTTTTACTAGCCTCTGCCGCAACATTGATCAACATTAAAAACGCAAGGAAACATTTTGAACGGTTAGAGAGGGTAGAGTCGGGTTCTGTTATGCAACACTGAACACAATTGTTGTCAACAGAATGCAACATGGCCACAAGCAACACTGCCATATTGCAGCTGGATTTCGTTGCAACATGGGAACTGGAACACAGCAACCTTTTGAAGTAGACTAAACAAGAAAAATTGTAGGAAACATAGGCAACATTGTAGGTTACATAGGCAACATTGCAATATGGCAATGTTGTGCTTTGACAATTTTGCATAATGAGTAACGTAACACAGACATTACAATACTATAATGCTGCACCATGGCAATGTTGTATACTTGAGTATATGGAACACCGGCAACAATACAGGAAACATTGAAATGTTATAAAGCAACATGAGAAACTCATGCATTTAGCTAATTTGGAAATACATTAACAATTGCTTTTACATGAAGGTTTATGTCCAAACTGTTTATACAGTTAGGGAACATCCATTGTTTTCATGTTTTTTACAATAGTAGAAAACATATGCCAGAATGTGTTGATGACCAATGTTTATCAATCAAAAAATGGTGCCAAAACAATTTATCAAATGTACAGTATGTATACATAAATTAATTAATGCCTCATCTAAAATGTCAGGTCCCTGTAGGACTGTCTGACTCTTTTGGAGGTGTTTGCATCAGGTGGTCTTCTTATCGAGTCTATTCACAAGTTGAGCCATGGCAGTTTAGTTCTAAAAACTTGACAATACGATTCTAGTGTATAGTGTTAAAAGGATTGGTAGGAACAAGGCTGCAACATGAATGCTCCTTTGTTGACCCTTTTGCATCAGGTAATTTAATAGGAATGTTGTTTTGCTCTGCATACTTCACCTGGAGACATTTTTCTAAATTCTATGAGATATCAGGTGTCCCATGTCTCTCGGAGGTTGTGGGAGTGTAACAAAAATCAAGATGCCCCACATACCTCAGCAAGCAAGAAAAAAATCTTCCTAAAATTGACACATTTGTTGAAGTCAGCTTGTGATGGCTATCACAATGCACAGGACAAAATACATTTGTTGAGAAGGTCATTCAACCAAATCTGTAGAAGTATCCTCTCACAACTTGGGACCCTTAAGATGTAGAAAAATATAGTTTGTTTTTTCCAGATATGTATGGCTTAAGTATGCCTTATCTAAATGTCTGATAAAACATTGTATATTGGTTTAGATTTGAATGTTTTATTTTACTGGTATTATATCCAAGAATTTTTTTAGAACACATAATATCTGTCTCTTATACACATCTAGATGTGTATAAGAGACAGCACACAGTGGCCTTGTATTATTATTAATGTTATATTTAATATTGCTGTTGTTATACCAATACTGGTGCACAGTGATAGAACCAGTAGGCATCTGTTGAACATGCACCCCCAACAGGGAAGGCCAGTTGGACCCCTTCGTTGGACATGTCAAACCCCTGGTCAGCAAATTTCTGGCTCCACCGCTGGGAAAGGCGCTCATCATTTCTTAGAAAAGCATTGTTTCAAAAAACATTTTTATAAGGCAAGTGCACCTTCCCAGCATCTAGAAATATGTATTCTTAAAATTTGCTCACTTGATACTAACTATGGTGGGGCTGATGTGGGTGCAACATGGACCCCTTGTTGAGAGATCTTTGGTGCCACCATTGCTACTACTACAAGAAACCTCATATCTATGAACCCTGCAGATTAATAGTAGTAATAGTAATTTGTTTATTGATTCATTTTATCACCATTTTATTTTTATGACAGACTATTTAGTGTACCCTCTTTGTAAGGCTTGCATATAGGATTTAGATTTAAGGTTAACTTTATCCAAACTTTGGTTTAGGTATGGGTATTTAAGATCTATGCTTAAAGCAAAAGCTATGCTCCGGAGGAAGAAAGTTTTTTGATATGTTGTACAACTGATTTTTTTTAGACACAAAATGGTGTTTAATAAAAAAACTCGGGAATGGTTATTATTTTTGAATACTTGAAAACTGGGGAAAAAAGGTGGGATAAGGCAAAAAAAAAAAATTCTTGTGTTGGCCACATTTTAAGAAAATCCAAAAAATAGGTAGGAAAATGTTTCTTTCCACTAGTAATGTGTTTATGCCTAAAAAGTAGAAAGTACTCAAACACACAAGAAAGACCATTTTAAATCTATATTAAAGAGCAAAACAGTCGCATAACACTGTCCAGCAAGATAGGCCTATTCCAGCCTTTTTCGCTCATTAAAAATATATTTTTCGTTGTAGTAAAAAAAAAAAAAAAAATAACATGCCGAACCTCAATTTCATACATTTTGGGTTGGTTGGGAGTGGCCAACACAATACATTTTTTTATTTGGCCTAAAGGGTAATTTCCTGCGCGGAACCTGGCTTTATAGTATAAATGTGAACAAATGCTATAGATATGTATGCTAAGCACAAGGCTTAAGCTCTAGGTACCGTACTTTGTATCATGGGTTGTGAGATGGGTTGTGCCATGCCAATGCTTAAAGGATGTGTGCTTAGTATAAAAGAATATAATACATGCTAAGTACAAATGCTTTTGATATGAATGCTTAACACCAATGCTGATATGGTTGTTAAGAACCTGTGCATATAATTTGATAGTGTGGACAGAGCTTTAACACCAAAGAGTGGATAATATTTTCACTTGGAGACGCATCAATTTGTGTAAAATCTACATTTGTTTAAGCTGGGTTTCCATAGAATCGTTCACTCTATTGGCAAAAGTCGCTGACAGTTGTCGGGAGAGTTTAACCTGATTCAACTTTGCCGATTACGTTGCAGGCGAATCAGGGTGCATTGCTAGCTGCCCTGACACAATCGGGAAAGCCCCCAATTTTATGGAAAACAAGCACTTTACTCCAACAACTTTGTTCAATTTGCAAACAGTTTATTAAACATTAGTACTGCATTGTTTCTTTGTAGTTGCCATATTTAATATAAGTTGATTAGTCAATGTACAATACAAGACAAATTTGATAATTTATGTAAAATTCATTCGATTTATGATGTAAAGTACAGAATAAAATGGCTCTTTAAATTACAGCTGCGTTTACAATAATTTTAAAAAGGATTTTGTTAAGAAATAGTACAAGGAATGTACTATGCTTAACATATATGTATTACTCGATATTGTAGATGTAGAGTAAATTGAAGATTTACTGAACCTGTATTGGTTGGAGCAAGGAACAACTAACCAAAACTCAGATTTACTGAAACCGTACAAGGGATTTAGCTCTCTGGAGCACATTCTTAAGGATGTATAGTCATACATTTGTACAACTATATACTGTATGCAGTACTGGTATGCCCCCATACCCCCCTGTCATGACTTGAACACTAAACAAAATTAGGGGTGGTCCCTGGTAATGTATTTTACACATCATGTTAGTGGTATTCTCCCCATCTCCTCCCTGTGTGATAACATTTTTACACTACACAATATTAGAGGTGTTTCTCAGTGTTTTGGATAATGAGGCCCCAGTCATGTATACACTACTACATAATGTTTGGGGGCAGGTCCCCCATCAGGGGTGTCATATAGTCCTATGTTGATTGAAATTCATCCAGCACTATCCCACTGTACTTTATATCGCCACATCATAGTGTTATTTTGTTAGTATTATCATGACCTATCAGATTAAGTTATTATTGTTAATACAGTAGAAACCCTATAATAGGTGTTGTCCCCTTAATAGGGGTTTTTTGGCATGTTTTTGTATAATGATGACATAGATATTCTTTATAATTTTATTTTAATTGACCTAAGAATGAGTTACAGTTTAATTGTAACTAATTTAGAACAATAATTTGCAATGCAAAAAATAATTCATTTAAGATATGAAATTAACAGATATGTAATTAACACTACGAAATTTGTGTATGTTCCCGATATTGTTTCTTTATTTGAAAACCCCTATACAGGGGACACTAACCAAAAACGTGGAATTCTCCCCTTAATAGGGGTTATTTGGCATGTTTTCGTATAATGATGACATAAATATTCTTTATAATTTTATTTTAATTGACCTAAGAATGAGTTGCAATTTAATTATAACTAATTTATAACAATAATTTGCAATGCAAAAAATAATTCATTTAAGATATGAAATTAACAGATATGTAATTAAAACTACAAAATTTTGCGTATGTTCCCAATATTGTTTCTTTATTCGAGTGCAGTGTTCATGACCATGTATTCTTTTTTCAAATATTGAGCTTTCTATTGGATGCACAAGATGATTTTTTTGTTTATTTCTCGACTACTGTAGTTGTTTTGATACAATAAAAAAACGGAAAAGTGACCCTGAATACAGGAGTGGTTCTACTGTATAATGAATGGTACTATATTTGATTAAGTTGATCATAGGTAAGTGTCCAATTATTTTAAGTGCCGTCGGGTGATAATAATAATATCAAAAATATCTTGTAATTATGTTAATGTAATTGATATTGTTAATTAAAAATCATAGGCAATAGAAATGTATGGAAAAATGTTATGTTAAGCCTGGTTTCTATCAAATTTTTTTTTTTTTTTTTTTTTAAATTTAATTCTCAACCAACAGAGATAAGAACCTCCACTAACTTGCTACACCTTTGCCACAGTATTTTGACTGCAATTGTTACAATACATAATAGTAGAGTCATTTTCTTTTTAATCTGGTTGATTTGACTGGTTTCTTTTTAATCTGGTTGATTTGACATGGAATAACCCTACAATAGGTCAAAGGTCAGAATGTACCGTTTGCGGTCACTATTTTAATATTTTTTTCATTAGGACGAATAGAAACATGAATCTCCTGAACAATTTGCAATTAATTGTGAGTCTATGACCAGTAGTTACCGAGATATGACATTACAAGGTCAAAGGTCAAACTTTCAAAAACCGCATTTCAACAAATAGGAACATGCATATTGTGAACAATTTGAGACCAAAATCAAGTCTCTCTGACCAGTGGTTATCGAGATACAAGCGTCCAAATCAACAGGCGGCCATTTTGAAAAACGCCCCCAAACGGGACTTCCCCCCAATATCTGGGAGGTATATAGGAGCTATATTTTATCTAAATTGGTCCATCTTGCCAAATCCATCGAGAAACAAAGGTATCCTAAAATTAGTCACGGATCTCATGAAAATGACTTTACTATAACTGGATTCAGGAATGCTCCCTCATTCAACTGACCAGTTGTGGTCGCTGACACTTTAACGTGGTGTTGAGATTTTAGAGACACCAGGCTTTAAGAAAGTTATAAATACAGATTACTAATGGCAAGTTTAGCAGTTCATTTTGTAATTATTTACTTTTCAACCACAGTGCAACCTCCAATTCAAGACCCCTCGAACTCGAGACCACTTTTTCAAAGAACCAAATAACAATTTTCAATCATTTAACACAAATCGAACCAGAGACCACCTGGTCCCAAATTAGACTGCAAACTGTATCTATTCGGCCATGTTCCAGATTCAATATGAATGTTATTGTCATATTTTTCAGGGACTTGCGCCTCCTGGATATTTTGGAGACATTTTGAGCGACGCCACTTTGCTCTCGTCGGGGTCATCGTCCCTTGGCTCCCCATTGGCGCATCCCCCACCATTTGGTGCCACCTCGTCATACTCTTGTCATTTATCTTGTTAATTAACTCATTATTTTTAATTAACAGTGCATAGGTTGGTAAAAAAGTGTTCTGGTTAATTCTTGTATTGGAGGTCTGTTTCGAACTTCAAAAAGGTGACCATGGTCTCAAATTAGAGGGAGTCTCAGAAATAGAGGTGAGCTTAATGTCAAGAGGATCCTTTGAAAACTGGTATCCAATTACGGGGGTCATGGAATTATTAGAGTCTTGGAGCAATTAGAGGGGACTTGATTGGAGGTGACATGGGTGCAGATCATGGGGGACACGTCATATTCAAGGGCATCGTCTTTCCCAGCCCCAACTATGGTGGGGCTGAGGTGGTATAGATCCTTCATCTGTGAAAGTACCTCTCTGGGTCCCCTCTATTTGAAATTCCTGGAAACGCCACGGAAAATATCACGAGAATTTTTTGGCACTAATTCATTTTGAAGTATGGTGATGTGATGATGAAGCATTTTACTACATGGCTGTCATTTCCGGCCATCTGTGGAACTAGGCCTATTTCCCAATTTTTTTAAACCTGAGCCCCAACCATGGTGGGGCTGAGATGGGTGTGGACTCGCATCTTTGAAGTAGGTAAAGTAAATACATCAAAGAAAATGTTT